GATTATTCATTCTCGTCCTAGCTCAATAGAGAATACAAAGAGGGGATAACTTTCGAGCAAGCAACTGTTCAAGTCAATTCAAAACATTGTTCTTTTAGTGAGAAAAATGGTTACAAAAATGTTGATTTTGTCAAACCAAAAGTAATTTCTTGACAATATTATTTTCAAACAAAGGAACAAAAGAGAAAGACAAATAAAATTAGCTGAAATTATAAAAAGAAACTCAGAAGAAATTGTTTTGAAAGAGAGAAATACGAACTCCGTAAACAACTTTTAATTTACAAGCAAGAAAATCATTTAATTATAGAAGAATTAGCCAAAAGAATTGATTCAACCAAAAGGAATTGATTTAATTAATTCAGAAACTAAGGACATTTTGCATTACCATATTGATTATTTTTACCTTAGATCGATCAATTGTTTTATGCTTGTTCCTTTACAAGTAAAGTAATCATTGAACCAGAAAATAAATTGGATAGTCTGGAATTTAGCAAATTTGATGGCGAATAACAGTGAATTTATGAAAGCTTATTTAAATTTGAATTCAAGAAAAGGACAATTAACTACCTAAATCTATCTAAAATCATTAGCTATTACCTGGTCAGACTCTGATAGGAAATGATTACCAGACGAATTAATTTTATCATATTTTCGCAAAATAACAAAACAGAGATGTAATTTGGAGTTTTGGCTTGAATTAAGCTTAATGCGGGCCGTGATTCAAAATAAAGCGCATGATCGTTATTTCGTAAGCATTTTAAAGTTAAGATAACGGAGTACCGAGAAAAAAACGCGGCAAACTTCACATGTTCGTCGAAGAAAGAATTCTTATCAAGAAAAAAAGTATCATTTGATTTTCTAATTCAAAGATAACAACTTCTGGGTTAGGATCTTGACTAGAATTTAGTCATTGACTGTTTTTCTATTTTTTCTAATAAACTATTATTTTTTACAACTTTGAACTTTTAGGAAAGACTTGAATTTGTTCTTACGATTGTTGAGCTTATGTCCTTTATTGAATTTTCAGCTCTATTTCTTTTAATACAAATTAAAACTTCTGAGTTATTTGAAAATAATCGTAGGTTAATAAAGGGATCAATTAGTTGCAAAAATTAACCATAATGACTAGCGAACAAAACTAATTTTTTCAAGATAGTTTAGGAAGCATTTTATTTATGTAGCTACAGAACAAAGAATTTCTATTAATGGACGACGATTCCCACCATGATCACATAACGATAAACTTTTTTACTATATCTAATACCATAAACGTGGTCTCATGTATCCAGGGTACAATAAATTTTTCTCGCATGGATAATTTACATAGATGGATTCTATGGATAAGGGGGTTACAAGTATATGTTTTCGAATTTCTAGGATCCGAAAAATTCTGATATATGGATATCGATATAAAACGGATTAAATGGAATAAATATATTACTCGTAATTTTTTGCTATTCAAATTTAACCTGGTATATCATACCAGATGGCATTTTTCAAAGCTACATTTATATGTATAGTACCCCGGATCTTAAGCAAAAATGCGGTAATATTCTATTCATAGTACTCGGATTTTATACAAAAAATAGGACACAAAAAACTATGGATGGTATTATTGTCAGGGGAATACTTGAGACCACGTTTACGGTAGTTTACTTTTCATTTTTAAGTTGAATGAATCCGACAAATTTCAGTTACGTACATAGATTCTAGGCAAATCAGAACTTTGGAATTAGCCGTGCACAAATAAGAAATAGGAAACCGATTTTGTAACTAAAATCGAGGAAATCAATTTTCTTAGAATCGATTTGATCGATTAATATATGTAGTAAAAAGATCGTTGCTTAGGTATAAAAAATAAATATAATTTGTCATTGTACTCGAAATCAATGTTTATGCTATAGCAAAATCCCATTGCTAACAGTGTTATGTTATAATAATGATAATAAACGATCATGTAATCATTTTTCTCGTAAATACTATTATCGTCGCGATTTTTAAGTATTCGCTCAGAAATTGGATGACCAGTTCCTACTAATTCAGGAGTTAGCTAAAACCTGGTGTTACGTGATTTAATTTTCAGCTTAATGTTTATAAAGTCAGGATAAAAGGTTAGGATTAGGATAGAGAACAAGATTATGCGTAAAATTGTTTTCCAAGACATTAAACATTGATCTTGTTTTGCCGGGTTGTGCATTCTTATTGGTAATTGAGGAAAATTTGCACACATCCATTGGATGGATTACACGTGTTCATCAGGCTTTATCCATGTACATGTATTCGAATATAAAAGATTCGAGATACTGTACATGTAACATTGGTGTATTTCATATACCAATTGATCAAAATTATGTAAGGTATAATAGTAAAAATCAATGACACAGGTTTTTTTTACGTATTATTTGATATTTATGCTCCTGGCAGACCCCATTTATATTATTTGGTCAATAGAATTTTAAAGATCCGTGTGTGATGTAAAAATTTAAAAAATCGTTGCATCAAATGGATAGGTATTTACATATTTAATATTGATAATTAGAGCGTTATAAAAATTTTTAACGACTCGTAGCCAATTCTATAGAAGCATTTTATTCTCGTTGTATGTCTGATTGGATAACTAATGTATTAGAGTCTTGTTGGTAAGTTATTCTACTTTCTGATTTAATAAGGCTCGATGCATTAAAGATTATGTCATGTATCATTTTAAGTTCTTGAATAGTAGATTTTTTTAAATGATTTATTATTAATTAACAAGTTTTCACGCAAATTCAGTTTGTGCTTTTTGTCAAGTGATTCAAGTGCATTTTTTAATTGCAACTTGCGTTTTGAAAGAGGCATTTTTAAAAAGATTTAACTTTGAAATTATGATATACGAAAATTATTTTTTGAAGTATTCTCATTGCACCTTAACCTTTTTTATTAACAAAAGCAAATTCGAACAAAAGCTAATTTAAAACCAAATGTTTAGAAATAACTAAACGAAGTTTAAAAAGATCCACTGTTAAAACTATCTTAAAATTTACAATAAACTCGACATATGATATGATAAAAAGCCTTTTGTCAAACTTACGATTTTATATTTTTAAATAATTTACTAGCGACAACGCAAAGATTTTGCATAAAATCTAATACCGCTGCATGGGAAGCACAGGATTAATGATAAAGTAAATAAACGGGTCTAGATGGGGACGAATTACAATATAAAAGTAACTCATCGCAAAATAATCATCGAAAAAATGTACTAATTATAGATTAATAATTGTAATGAAATCCTATAACTTAAATAAAATATTTCCTTAATACAATATATTCCTTTACTATACTGAGCTTATTCAAATGTATTAACAACTTAGTGCCGTAACCAAAGAATGCAATCATACGCAATGCATGTTAATTGAGTAGCCCAAGGAAAGACTACAAAAGTGTTAATATAGTTGAAGTATTTGCTATCAAGGATTACCTTCTATGATAGGAACTAAAGAAGAGGTCGATTAGACAACTCGGCAAGAGATCGGAGTAGTGATCGATGAGATAACGGATAAGTTAGTACTCAAAATATTCCTGTCAAATTACGTGATCTATTTGTGCTACGAATAGACGGATTTTCAGCACAATGTCTACAAACGTAACACTGCGACCGTTTTTCAGCACAATCGTTTGCGAGGTTTGGCGCAATTCTTTAGTCATTATTGTTTCATTTCATTTCATTTTATTTTATTTTATAACTGCTGCGCTCTAAAAATGTAATAAGAATTATAACGATAAATAGAAAAAGCTAGCAAAAATGTATATAACGGATGACTTTCAGGCCTTTTAAAAAGAGAAATAAACTTTTTTCTCCAAGTATTAAAAACACTTGTTAAAAACCGTTTTGCAAAAGGCATCGTAATTATAATCATTATAGATTGGTTAGGTTCTTTGCCCAGAAAAGACAAAGTATTGGTTAGATTCTTTACGCCAGAAAGACAAACGCATCAGTGAATCAATTAATTGATTTGATTGATTAGAATTTAAGACTTTTGGTTAGAATAAGCATCGGTTAAGAAATAGAATAGTTAATAGTAACAAATGACGTAATTCCCTTTCTCCCCTCTTTCCTTCTTCTCGAAATACTCTACCAAAACATCGACCATTATTCAATTCCCACGCTGCGAAACTCTCTAATTCTCACGCACAAAGTTCTATTATTGTCTCATTTCTTTCTTTTATAACGCATACATAGAACGATATCCGTGTACCGTGACAGTACAGTCTCACGGTTTACTCGGTAGATACCCAGAATTCGATCCACCGTACATGTACATGTACATGTATAAGGTTAGCTGGTTACCATGAAACACGTGTTCTAATGATAACACAATTCCCACATTTTGAATTTCACAATTTGCTGTTATCTTTAAATGTAGGGTGCATAACGTTGAATATAAGATTCTAAAATATAATATAGATGAAAAATGCGATATAGAACTTCTATTATGTTTAAAAATAGCTTGTTGGGGATCTGACTTTCAATAGAAAAATAATACAAATATATTTCATTATAATAAGCTTTACATGTAATAACCTTATCGTGATGAATAATTAACGTTAATATGGAACGAAAAACGTTAGCTTTATGCTCCATTTTATTATCGTTATCGTTAATACACAAAAGTTGCGATATGATTATTTATATGGATTAAAAAAGCTAGGCTAGTTACAAATAGTACTAATCCTGAAAGTATCCTGTTTTATACAAAAGAATTCCTGCCACCATTTCGATTATACATTATCGTTATAAGTTACGTCGATAAGGAAAAAACCATAGCGATAGAATGCATTCGAAGAAACATCTACATGTAAATTTTCCTCAATAGGAAAATCATGCCATATTTATTGGGGGCGGGCGAACGGTGTACATGTATCAATTTTTTTAAAACATTTAAAAATGCTATCGATTCAATATTGATATTAACTTGTGGCATAACACAATTTTTTTTGATTCGGCTACAACTACAATCATGCAAAACGGAGGCAGCAATGTCAATGATGATTATGCTTTTGCTATACGATTGCAACAAGAATTTTATAACGACCATAATAAGAGTGGTGTAATTCCTGAAGGCAAGTTGATAGTATATTCAATTTTCAAAACATCCTCAAATGTCATCTCGAACCAAATATGTTTTGTTAATTTAGAATCATTCCAGTCTAATTACAATCAAGGCAAAAGTGACCATTCAAGTAAGGGTATTTTAAATTAGGAACAATTCTTTCAAATGGTGTAATACACATTTTATTTTGAACAATTTCAGCAACTAATGTCAAAAAAAATAAAGACATTAATGTCGATGAGGATGAGTATATTGCTATGCAGCTTCAACAAATGTATGAAGAAGAGGGCGATGATTATGCTATTGCTAAGCGGTTGCAACAAATGTATGATAAAGGAAGAGTTACCTTAGGAAATGATTCTGAAGGCAAGTTTCTAGTGTAAATTGTAATACTGTATGAATAATTACATATGCTTTTCATTCAATTTGATTTAATTTAATTTCTAGATGTGATCCCTCGTATGAGTAAGATGACGCTTGAACAACGTGAAGAGGAAAAATATTCAAATCAAACTAAAAACCGAAAAGAAGGGTTTGGCATGAATTACTTTGACGACGGCGATGCACCACCTCCGTACACGTTTTCTCAAAAATCGCCATATAATAATAATAATAATAATAACGATTTTTCTCGAAAGTTTTCGTTTATGCCACAGAACCAGCAACAACAGACCACTCCTAATCAACCTGACCCGCAAGCTATGTTTGACGAATTTTCTCGAAAGTTTCCGCCTATGCCACAGAACCAGCAACAACAGACCGCTCCTAATCAACCTGACCTGCAAGCTATGTTTGCTCAGTTCTTGGAAACCTTCCAAAATCAACAAAATAATAACCAATCTAATTATTACACGCGTAATAATAATAATAATAATAATCAACCTGATTTCTTCACACGTAATAATAATAATCAGCCTGATTTTTTCACACGTAATAATAATAACCGAGCCGATTTCTTCGCGCGTAATCATAATAACCAAAATAATAACCAACCTGATTTCTTCGCGCGTAATAATAATAATAATCAATTTCCTGATTTCTTCACACGTAATAATAACAATCAACCTGATTTCTTCACGCGCAATAATAATAACCAATTTCCCGATTTCTTCACACGCAATAATTATAACAACCAAAACCAATCTGATTACTTCGATCATTTCACGCATAATAACAACAATAACCAATCTAATTACGGCATGCGTAATGATAATAATAACCAATCTGATTACGGAACACGTAATAATGATAACGACTTCTCCCATAAGCCTACACGAGATAAGATCGACCTACCTGGTACAGAGCCGCGTGTCTTCAAAATTCTTTTATTAGGTGGAACTGGGACCGGAAAGTCTACCATCATCAACACGATGACAAATTACTTTTTAGACGGTACTCTTGATGAACCAAAGATTGTGATTCCTTCAAAGTATTACAAAGTTACCGAAAAAGGTATCGTCGAAATCTTGGTAAAAATTATTTCTAAATTCTGATTCGAAATGACATTAATTTGTATGCTTGCATCATTACGATTGCAGAATTCGCTAATGAACATTCGGAAGCAAAACTTGATGATGTAACTAAGAGCCAAACCACCAAATGCTACAACTACACTTTCAATCATCCTGACAATCCTGTCTATAAATTCATCTTCATTGACACACCTGGACTGAGCGATACGAATGGCGTGAAGCAAGATGACGAGAATATTCAAGAGATTATAAATACGGCAATTTCTGCCGGTTCATTATCCGCTATAGTGATCATCGCAAATGGAACTGAAGCTAGGGTGACACCATCGATCAAGAACACCTTGGTTCGATTGTCAAATAACCTTCCCGATGAACTGATCGATCGTAACCTATTGCTCGTTTTAACAAAGTGCGCAAAAAGTAGTGCTTGTTTTTCAGAAGAGAGTTTCGCAAAAGAGATTGCAAAGCCAAAGGTTAGCATATAATTCATTGACCTTCTATTTCATATTGAATTCAAATATGATACCGTTTCTTAACGCTTTTTTTTACTTTTAGCAAATCTTTTATATGGACAACCAAGCTTTTTGTACCAATCCCGAAATCTGGAAAGATGACGAAAGTGAACGACATACCGTTCAATTTCATTGGGATAAGTCTATCAAAACGATCGGTAATTTGTTAAAAGAAATCACCAAGTTGTCTGCTACTTCGACTCAAGCATTCGAAAACATGAGAGACTTCAGAAACAAAATCAAATCCGAAATCGTTAAAGTCACTCAAGACATCGCAAATATTCAAAAAGTCCAGGACGCTCTTGATGCTGCCCAGAAAGCTCTGCAAAAAACTGGAGATCAAAAGAAATCTTTCGCTAACTACACAAAGACAGAATCAATTAAACTTAAGAAAATCGTTCGAGTTGATTATCATAGTACCGTTTGTACCCTTCATCTGACGAAAGACATCGTTTGTCATGAAGGGTGTGGACTTTCAGAAGTAACCGTCTCTGGAACTGATCACTTTCTATCTTGCTATTGCATGGGATCAAACCAACTATGTAAAGAATGTGGTTGTGGACCTAAAAGGTAATCTTCAAGTTATATATTCTCATAATTTTTTAAACTTATATCAATTCTTTGTCTCGATGATATTATGCAGCCATTTTCACGACAAGGTCAAATTAGTTGAAGAAACCAAAACAATGAATAAAGTTCTTGAAGATATGAAAGCACAATACGATAATGCCAACCAACAACATCAAAAATACAGCAGTGATGCAAACAATTACCAATCATCCCTCGCAAACCTTCAAGCCGCTGCTAACGCTAAATACGAATACATCCACAAACTTTGCCTTGATTTAAGTAAAATTTGTTCTCGATTCAACTTTGTTGATGAACTTCATGCAAATATTGAGAGTATGAGACAGGATGCGAGAACAATCCAGAATATCAATCTACGAAAGAACGCTGAAATGGAGATCCAACGACTTGAAAAATTGGCAAATGATTTGTCTTTAAAACGAGGCAGGACGTAAGTCGTTTCATAATTTTGTTTGTACATGAAAGCATAAAAAGACGTTATTTATATCATTGAATCCTTTTTATAGGTTTAAATGAGTTAAAGAACGACATGTTTTAGCGAGATGTAACGTGTAGGATTTTTCGAAAGTGTTGAGTGGTTCACGTGTCATTTAAATATTATAGATTATATAGTAAAAGAGTATACATGTATTTATATATCATAGTTTTTTTTGTAATTGAGTATGTTGTATAAACAATCAGAAGGAATTTTTCTTTGTAAGGACTAGCTAGCATTATGAGTTAACAAGATATTACTGTGTAAACTTAGTTCCAACCAAAAAATTTTTTAAGTGACCAAATATTTTAGTATGGGTCAGTGCAAAAAGATTTGTATCTCAGATAAATATTAAAAGATTATTTTTCAAAATAAAATTTTAATTCTGCTTATTTATTATTAGGTATTGGGATTTATTTAAATATAAAAATTTGTATTATATATCTTTTATAAAAAAATTTTTACTAATAATAACTTTTTTCAATTATTATTTCTTAAATTTTACTATATAAAATTTGATTAAAATTAATATAAAATTATATAGTAGATAATTTAATTATTCAACTTTGAATCTTAATATCTTTATAATTACTGATTCAACTTTTATAAATTTAAAATATATATTTATCAAATCTAGAACAATCTGCTTGCATAATCTGCTTGTATAATTTGAAGTTATAATATTGCAAGTTGATAGTGATAATATTTAAAAATGTCTTTTTAAAAAAAATAATTTTATTTTAGTTTAGTAAAGTAATACTTTATTTATTATTGAATTAAAGTATAATAAATTAGTTAAAATAGTATAAAAAGTTAATTTAGATTATTTTTTATTTAATATAAAAAAATTATAAGATTGATTAAAATTTAAATGATTTTTATTAAAAGTAATTATTAATTTTTATATTGAGATACAAATCTTTTTGTACTGATTTATAATAAAAAAAATTAATACAAATACTAATTAAGTATATATATTACTTTGTTAATATTATATATAATTTACTAATTTGATAAATACAAAATAGCAAACAGAATAGTAAATAAAAGAAAAAATATAGTAGTAAATAAAGTAGAAGACTTAATAATAAATGAAAAAGAAATAGATTAATTATTTGGATTTAAACTTTATTGAAAAAATCAAGTAATTTATATAATCTTTATAATTATCAAAGAAAATTAAAAAGATTTTAATTAATTATTATATAATCAAATAGATCTTGATTTTAATAAAATTTTCATTTCTATTTGTTTTATACTATATATTAAATCATTATTTTTAAATTTAGAAATTCTTTTTAATTATTTATTATACTTTATCAAATTATAAAAAATTATATTATTATTATATTTATTATTTAATATATATATATTATAAAAAATAAAAATATAATATAAGTTAATCTTATATAAAGATCAATTTTTCTCTTATAATATATAATTTATTTAGAAATTTAATTATTATAAAGTTGAATTTCAATATAAAAGTATTATTATAAAGAATTTAACTTATAAATTTTAATAATATAAAAAATATTTTAACAAGAATTTTATATTATAGATTAAATTAAAAACTTATTATTTTTTTAATATTCAAAATAATAATAATTAAAAAATTCTTTATATAAAATAAATTTATCTTAATTTTTATAAAATACTTTTAATTTTCAATAAATAATAATATATCTAATATAGTTTATTATAAAAAATCTGATTTTTAATTAATAAATTATATTTATAAAGTTTATAATATTTTTTTAAAATATAATTCTTGATATAAAAATATAGTATATTTATTTGAGTAAGATTCTTGCTTAATAAAAAATTATTAATTATTCAAAGTATAATTCTTAATATAGTAATAAGTATATAATTATAATAAATTTCTCTAGAATTAATATACTTGAAAAAGTAAAATTAAATGATTATAGAAAAATATAATTATAAAGAGATTTTTTAATTATAGTTAATTAGTTATTGAAAAACTCAAAAAAGATAACTATAATAAAAAATAATTATAAAAAGATATGACTATAAAGAGATCAAACTATAATTAAATAATTATTATTAAACAAAATCTATTTTTATTTCTTTTAAATAAAAATAAAAATTAACTTTTTGCAAATTAAAAATAAAAAATTTTAAAAATCAAATTAATAAATTATAGTATAATTTAAATTGAATTATATTATAATTTACTATTTAACTTTAATATTTTTTTAGTTTAATAATAATATTTAATAATTTTATTTATTTTAATATTTTAAATTTCATCATTAAAATATTTTATATATATATATTTTATTAAAAAGAATATATAACTTAAGAAATCACAATAGTAAAATAAGTTTAGATTCAGTTTTATATATTATAAAAAAAGAATAAAAAGATTATAATAAATTAAAATTTAATTATTTAATATTCTTTTATATTAAATAAATAAATTATTAAATATAATCTTTAAAATATATTTTATTATTAAAATTTAATATAAATTTTAAAAGACTTAAAAATTAATTTGATTTAAAAATATATAATATATAATAAATATAAAAAATTACTATTTATAAAAAAATACTATTACAGTGAATTATTAAGTGGGATTTCACTTTAATTCATCCTAATGATATAGGGTTGAGAGAGACTGAAATAATTAAAGGATAAAGAGAGAGAAATTAGATTATACTTTCAAAAATGACAAAGATTTCTAAGTCCTGTATCAATATCTACAGATATTGTCTTAACAAAGGGTAAATAAATAAAGAAAGAATAATATAAATCAAAGAAATTATAAAGATTATCTGAGTGAAGCCACTAGTAATTGATATAATTCAAGATTTGAATTGATTAAATAGTATAAACTATTAATCAAAGAAGGTTATAACTAAAGTAAAGATAAAAATAAAATATGAAAACTAAATTACTAATTAAATAAAAATGTATGGCTTATTTATAGTAAAGATTATTTACTCTTAAAAATAATAAAACAAATAAAACAAAAGTATGGCTTATTTATAATAGAGATTTTCTACTCTCAAAACAATATCAAAAATCAAAAATCAATATAATGTTATAATTCAAAAATCCAAAATTAATTTTATATAGTCAAAGAAATAAAACTGAATAAAAGAAAGAATACTAGTATAATTAAATTATACTTTCCAAACAATTCTTTTAAAACTATTATATATTTCAAATAATTCTTTTAAAACTATTATACATTTCAAATAATTCTTTCAAAACTATTATACATTCCAAATAATTCTTTTAAAACTATTATATGTTCCAAACAATTCTTTCAAAACTATTTATTTCAGCTGGAATAGCAGGTTCTTTTATACATTTTTCAGATACAAAATTATTATAGTATTATTAGCTAATACTATCTAACATACAAGATATAATTAAAGTACTATAATATAAATAATTATGAATAAATTATAATGAAATATGTTGAAAGATATTAAAGAATATTGAAGAATATCAGAGTACATGAAAGGATATTGAAAGATATGAAAAGATGTAAAAAGATGTGAGAAGATGTAGAAAGATATGAAAGGATATAAGAGAATATCAGAGAACATTAAAGAACATGAAAAGATATTTGAGATCATTATTCAAGTGTAACTGTTCTATTAAAATTAAAAATAATCTTTCACTATACTATTCTACTATATACATGAATATCATATTACAAGATAATAAAAAATATAGATCCTGAATATTAAATAAAATATAATGTTAAAAATAGAAATATGATAATAAGTATAGTAATAAATGATATAGAAAATAGAGATAATTATAAAATAAATAAAATTATAATGAAATATAATTTTTCATAACTAGGGAAAGATTAAGAAATTAAGAAATTTTATGTCACTACAGTAATACTATCTTTATACTGATATCTCTGACTCTAAACTTGATATAATATTATCTTAAAAAAATGATGAAGAAAGTAAATAAATAATAGTTTATGCAAGTATTTTATTAAAACTAGCAGAAAAGAATTATAGTATTACTAAAAAAGAAGTTCTGATTATAGTTTAAGCTATTAGATAATTTTAATATTATCTTCTTGGATCTTTATTTGAAATAATTACTAATCATAATATACTTTAATGATTATTTACCAAATAAGTTAATTCTGAATCCTAAATCTCAAGATAGATAATGATTATGATAGAATACAACTTTATTATTACTTATAAAGCTGGAAAAATTAATCAAAATACAAATACTTTCTTAAGAATATATTTGCAAGAGTAGAATATCAAACTTACTTAATTAATAAATTATTTGAAATAACTTTTACTAGATAACTAATTAAACAAATTATCCAAATCTAATTAATTTAATAAAATAGATTTAATAATATATTATAATTTAATAAGATATAATATGTTACAAAAAAAATTATAATTATTATTTTTATTTATATTTAATGAATATTTATTTAATTCATATAAAATTTTAAATATATATACTTGATAACCTAGTGAAAAAGTTTAC